TGGGAACCATGGAGCAGACAGTTTATTAAGAAATTTTGTTATCCTAAATACAAACATTATTTCCTACATTTGTAGAAAAATCTTTTGTAAGCAGTTAATCTCTGCAATAACATCACATGATAGTGTTATGAGTAGCATAGAATCAGCTTAGTCATACTAGATATGCATTATTCGAAGCCTTCATCAAGTTAAATATGTATATATTTATGTGTATATATATATATAATGTATATAATTATGCACACATTTTTTTCGAAATATGAATTTCAATCCAAATTTACTGTTATCACTGTGTTCGCAAGAACTTTACTTGGTTTGAACAACAGAAGTCGCGCTGCATTCCACGAAACTTGCCACTAGTTTCGTCTCACCTAGCAGCTATCAGCAAACTTCACAGTTAATCTGATATTTTCTTACTCCATGTAGAAATACAGTTATAGTAATTTTAGTGTCCTGTGTAAATTCATTTCAGTGTGCAGACTATGCACTTATACTCTATACTTGCCATTCTATAGTTTATGTCGACTTTTTTGCAGAAACGTACTCGGTTAACAATGATTTTGAAAACCATCAGAATCCACTGCCAACTATCCCCTAAGTGCATGCAGAACCACAGGCACTATTTTTTCTAGTCGCACGTGACGCGATCCAACAGGAATGCATTAGCAAGGGCAAGTAGAGGAGCCCCAGTGGGAATGCCGGGAAACGGGCCACTCGATCCCGCGATGTCGATGTGGGAGTACCGTAAGGGTTTCTCGGAATCTATACCATGCTGCAAGCAGAAAAGGAAAACACTGTTTTAGAGGACTTTCTACCTGAACACGTATCTAAACCTAAACCCAGCAAAGAATTGAGTAACCTGAGACCTTTAACTATACTATTTTTTACTAAACTCTGCTACGCAAATGTTTAACGTGTGGGTGGTTGGTGTTCCCCACCTTCTCCAGGCCGGATGCCTCGATCATGAACGCTGCGGGAATCTGGTGACCTCGCGCCGTCATCGTCGACGGAGCGTTGTTAGCTTGCACTAGATCCTCATACTCAGCCTTGCCCTTGTTGAACTCGTAGTCCTGCGAGCAAGGATAATTAAGCACCTTGTTATTGTTTGTTTACACTAACAACAGGATTTTCTTGTTTGTTATACACTAACAACTTCTACACTAACTAAGTAAAAGTCAAGTCTGCTTTATTGGCAGGTGTCAGTTCCACAGACGGTTTCCCTGTATAACCGCTACTCGAGGAAAGTCTCAAGGACTTTCCTTTATAGACAGGTGTTTGTTATATAGAGGTGATTGTTAACGCAGGGTTGACTATACACGGGGGACGCGTCAGTAGCTGCTATGTCACCTCGCGTCTGATGGTGGATATCTCAAACGGATCAGCGAATTCCTCTCCTGCATTGAACAGCTTTCTGGCGACGCCGTCCCTGTTTGCCGGACCGTTGTCCATCACGATCTGTCCGTGCAAACACAGAGATGACATATAGATGACACAATCAGATGTCACAGCTTGACAACCACTCTGTCACAGCTTGACAACCACTGTGTCACAGCTTGACAACCACTGTGTCACAGCTTGACAATGACTTAACTGCATCGCACATATGCATTCACGATAAATCTCTTACACTGAATAGTCGAAATTAGGCGTATCAGTGATGTCGAATTTCCCAAATTAAACTGCAGCTCTTGTCTCTATGTGGACATAAATAGTAAAAGAATATGGCTGTGTGGCCATTTCCTGTAATTATATACATTATAAAATGCATGATCTTCCATCCTGACTTAAAATTTGGTGGTAACTGCAGCTTACTGTCTGTGGTGCTACAACTACTGCTGCTGCTACAACAACTACTGCTGCTACAACTACTGGCTGCTACAACTAACTGCTGTGCTGCTACAACTACTGCTGCTGCTACCAAACCAACTAACTGCTGCTACAACTACTGCTGGCTACAACTACACTGCTGCTACATACTACTGCTGGCTACAACTACTGACTGCTGCTGCTCTAGCAACTACTCTGCTGCTGCTACAACAACTACTGCTGCTACAACTACTACTGCTGCTACAACTACTGCTGCTGCTACAACAACTACTGCTGCTACAACTACTACTGCTGCTACAACTACTGCTGCTACAACTACTACTGCTGCTGCTGCTATTACTACTACTACTGCTACTACCGACTACTGCTGCTACTACCGACTACTGCTGCTACAACTACACACAGCACACGCAGCGCCGATGCAAGCACTCGCACAACACAGCGGCGGCAACAACTCACGCTGTAGTTGGGGCCCATCGCGCGCACCGCGTGGCCCGTCAGCGTCGCGATCGTAAATGGTTGACGAGGCCCTCGCTCGTCGCTCGCTCCTTCATCCAGCACAGCACGTCGGTCATCGCCATGCGGCCCTCCGCGTCCGTGTTGCCGACGCGCACGCGCTTGCCCGCGCGCGAGGCCATCAGCTCGTCGGCGACGTAGCACTCAGACCCGACGCTGTTACGCACCATGCACATCGCTCCGATCACCCGGACGCCGCGCGGCCTCAGCACGTTCAGCGTCTGTGGGATAGAAGTGTCGTATTGGGGGTTGGTATCTCCCAGCCAGTAGTGGGATGTACCGCGCTCTATTCACTGACGTCGACACTACATGTCAGATTTCTGGATCGGTTTCGGGCCTGCGAGATGGACATCATCGCACCGCGACCCTGAATGCTAACTGAATGTGATGACCTCTTGGGACCTTCATCTCACTTCCCACCTACACTCGCACTTCTGCACTTCTCCCTTCCTCTCTCCTCACTGCCCCTGCTCTTCCTTCCTGCCTTCGCACTTCCTCTTCACTCTCGCTCTTCTCTTAACTTGCTCTTTCCTCCAATTCCTTCTCAGTCCCAGCCTCCACACTCCATCCCTCGTAACTCCTTCCATTCACTTTTTCCACCTTTACCCTCCATATTTCCTCCCCTCCCCCCTCTCTCCCTTTTCCTGCTCTCTGCCCTTTGGCCTCTCTCGTCTCTCCTCGTCTTCTCTCCTCTATCTCTCTCACAATCTCATCTCTCTCCCTCTCTCTCTCTCCTCCTCATATCTCTCTCGGTCTCTCTCTCGGTCTCTCGTCTCAGTCTCTCGTCCTCTCCTCCTCTTCTCTCTCTCTCATCTCTCTGTCTCTCTCATCTCAATCTCTCTCTCCTCTCTCTTCTCCTCATCTTCTCTCTCTCTCCTCTCTCTATCATTCTCTTCTCTCATCTCTCGTCTCTCTCTGCTCTGCTCTCTCCTCTCTCCATCTCTCTCAACCTCATCTCATCCTCCGAGTCCTCTCTCCTCTCTCCACTCTCTCCTCTCTCTCTCGTCTCTCTCTGTCTCTTCTCTCTCTCTCTCTCTCATCTTCTCATCTCTCTCTCTCTCTCTCTCTCTCTCTCTCTCTCCTCTTCTCTCTCAGTCTCTCTCTCTCTCATCTCCAGTATCATCTCTCTCTCTCATCTGCTCTCATCTTCTCTCCGTCGTCAGTTATCTCACTCTCTCTCTCTCATGCATCGGTCGCTC